AAAGGCTGTGCAGCACTCTTGGTAGAGTCATTATAACAAGGACACTCCCATAACACAAAAGATGGGACTTTATGAAAAAGAACTGGCATTTTTTCCAGTGTCTTGGTTGATATAAAATGCCACTTGTCTGGTCATTGGTATTAGTAGGACCCTGCTATGTTCAAATTGGCCGTCAGGTTTCCAACATTTAACAGTGACTGCATTTTACATTTCCTTTTTTTTTATAAAGGGACATTGGGACATCCTGATGTTATGAGAATTACAATATAAATATGTCTTTCTTTTTAACCAAGGGGCATTGAGGTCAATTGCAATACCCTTATTGTCACTCAGACCAAAATCAGCAAACTCATCACTTCCAGGAAATGAACCCAGGGCCTTCAGCTCTCTATATTGGAACGGTCATTAATACAAATCAAAAAGAGATGCAACATGGGCTCTTACCTGATTCTTCAGTTAGGGGATGTCTATTTATAACAATGCCTTTTGGGATAAATGATGAAGAGAAAGAGAACACTCACTAGGAAGGAAGTAGGATGATGAGAAGAGAGGAAATGAATCATTGTATCACAAATGGATGCTCATGCTGCTCCAAGAAAAATATAGGAAGATGCCACTGTTACCAGTCTCCACATTTACAGAATATGTAACCAGAAGAAATTAAGAAAAGGAGTGAAGTTCTCCAAAAATGTTAGTGGTGAGCAGAATTCGTAGTTATTCTACAAGTACAAAAATAGTACCCTTTTGGGATGCAACTTTTATTCCTGAACCTAAGTGATTAAGCTAGGGATTCAATTGTATAGAGTGCTAGAATTAGGTTGGTACAAGTTTAGTATCTGCTGTAGATACCTTTGCATCTTAAATGGTAGTTATCACCCATAGTGGATGTGATGCCTCATGCATGCCATTGTAGTCTCACATTGCCGAGTACCTAAGGACACATAACCCAAGGGTGTGACAATATTAGACTTTTGTAGTTGAAACCAGATATTTGTATGTTTTACACATTTCCTCATGTGCCCGTCCAAGTGCTTTGAAGGCAGATGAAGAAACATCAAGGCTGATGTGGCCAGAAACAAATTGTTAAAATGAATTTATTTCACAGTGAGTGAACAAGCAGCTCAACAGTTTTGATCAAACTCACTTAATTCAATCGATTTTCTCTTTATATATTAATACAAAAGCAGTGTATATGCTATACTTTGCATATCAGTGTGTCACACCTTGCTTGATTTAAATAATCTAACTCATTCCCAAAGTGTGCACTCATTACCAGTGTGTTCTGCCACGCTCTCTGTCACCTTTTAAATTTGGTTCTGTTCACATCCAAAGAGGATAGCTGCTAGATTACTCCTAGAAAACATTCAAGTTCAGGAATTTCTTAGCACATTGAGTGCAAGATGCTTGCCAATTCCTGAGCATTAGTAACTTGTCGTACAGAATTTCAGTCTTGCTGAAAAGAAGTGTGGTGTTGAAACTTTTTATCTTGTGTTCATCAGGACAAACACAAGAATGTCACATTTCAATGGGAGCAACAATTTATACAGCACAAGAAAATATTTATGGTTGGTTGGTGAGTCTATTAGTTGAGGCATTGTTATTATTATTGTTATTGTTTAATTCAAACAAATATACAATGTCTGGACAAATTCATCCTGCCTGCAGGGGATAGGTTCCTGTATATAAATATATGTAGCTTCCAATGAGCATAAGTAAGATACATTGTGAGCACAATTGATAAGCCATTTAAAATTATCACATGCAGAATTGTTCATTAAGAGTCTAATTTTTTAAGGAATGAATTAGTTATTCATTACAATCAATGGGAAAACAATATATAAGGCTTCAGCTACATTTTGTCCTTTTTCTTTAATAAAAATTCATGTTTTTACTTTTCAAGAATAATATGCAAAAATAACTATTTTCTAATTCCTTTCTGTAATCAAAATATCACAGCTGCCTTTTCACTTCTGAGAATCATCTTCAAATTCAATTCTGAGAAAGGACAACATTGTCCTAGTTTTGTTGGATAATGCACTAAACTTACACCAATCCAGTTTCGACTCAGCATTGGGTCCACACATAAAGTTCTTGTTAATTTAGTGTAACTTAGAAATCAACACTGCCTTTCAGGGTTTAAAAAAAAAATCATACGGATGGCTGGTGTGGAATATGTAAAAGATCCCATTGATACCCTATGGATGGTCTCCTGATACAGCGTTCTTGAGCTACATAGAACAAGCTTAACTTTACATCTGGCCAACATAAGGACCTCGTCGGTGTGATGGTGCCATAAATGCAGAATATGTCATTCTTCAGCAAGATAATTCCTCAGTTTCATGAGCACAAAAAATATTGGTGGTGACAAAGAATATATTTATCCTTTACTTAGACAGCACTTGACCATCCTGTTTATAACTTTGTAAAATTGCTGATTGAAAGTGTGTTGTCTTACTCCAAATCAAGCTGACCCTTTCCCAGATGTTCTGTTTTTGCCCTTGATACCAATGCTTTTGCTTGATACAAAGCACTTTCTCCTGTTGCCATTATGTACTTTGTTGAGTTACAAAGGATATTATGATGATGGCAATCCTGAAAGTTTTAACTGAACTCTCTTCAACTGAGAAATCATTTACACTTGGAGATGTTGTCAACCTAGAGGTATTTTAGCAAGGATTTGTCACAGAATAAAGATTTTAATATTCATTCTCATTTCATGAATTGCATAAGTTATTATTTTACTTCTGTTGCACAAATATTAAACTAGAGTAATTTTATTTCTGCAGAATGGGAGTGTTCTCTCACACACATATAATGGTTTTCATAATCAAGAAGAATAGGTACATGCACATAACAAAAAATGTAGTCAAACTTAGGATTCTTGTGACTTATTTGGTCAGTGGAAATTGTATTTGTATTAAGTCTGTACTTTTCCAAATTTCTGGACTTATTTTTTTACTTACCAGCTATGTTTGAAGAGTCTGCAACTATATAAATATATATGGTGAGAGTGGTCTGCTTACATGCTAACTATTATAATGATTGTTTAGCCCTCATATGAAGTTTTTTGTTGGATACCTAAGTAATTGATCCACAATTTCCATCTATTAATGTTGAACTCATTTACAAATTGAATGGACGGATTTTATTTAAGAAGTGTTGGCATTACAAACATTCAGTGGGTATGTAACTGCTTGTACATTATTGTGTCGATTAAAACAATTATTTCACCATAAGTGTTTCATACAGATGCCAAAAGCAAAGTTTAATAATCTGCCTGGTTCATAGTGATGTGTGTACAATCTACAAATAAATTTGTTTTTGCAACTTATGCATTTGTTCATGTAATTAGAAAGGGTTACAGAACAATTTAATTGCTTTATTCCCCTCCTGTTGATAATAATTTACATCGGGTATAATTCAAGAATGAATGATATTGCATCCAGTTAGGCTCCTGAATGTTTCCCAGTGGGTTATTCAACTGAAAGACCATCACAGAAGAGCATCACAATTTTCACCGAGCTTCTGGGTCCAGCTGGAATGCTACTCATAAGTACAGGCACAATCTTATCCTGTTAGTTTCTCTCTTGGTCCAGGTTGCAAATGTAATAAAACTAATTGTTGTACTTCCATTGCACATGCAGGTTAGATGCCAACAATAATATGATGAGCTCACAGTTTCCCTCTAGTTATGACAAAACCATTTGAGATATTCAGCCAAGCAGCAAAGTGGGCATTGGCACCAGTCACCATCTGTATTGCCCACTTCACTCAATAAATGAATGTTACCGCCATAGAGCCTTACAATAGTGAAACTGCCCACGGAAACATTTTTATACACATCAGTCATCTACCTTCCCACTTAGAATTTGGAGATGAAGTGATACCTTGTCAAGACATAGAATTGAATATTGTATTTTGTGAACCCATTCTTTTCCTTTCTTCTAGCTTTGCTTGTAACATTCTCTGTCACCATATCCTCTCTCACCTTCCCCCCTTCCAGTGGTCCTGTGTGATCTTTCCAGTCTGGCGGTTAGACACACCATTGCTCTGCCATTCTCACATTCCGATCATTTAATCTGAACTATCAACATCCTCTCTCCCCTAGCACTCCAATCCCACACCCCCAACACTATTGCATGAATGCTGCCCTTTCCACACTTCACATCAGCTCTGATGAAGAATCATCTAGACTCGAAATGTTGGCTTGCTCTCTCTCCATGGATGCTACCTTACCTGCTGTGATCTCCAGCACTTTGTGTTTTCAGTACAGATTCCAGCATCTGCAGTACTTTGCTCTTACATTGTCTTTTGTACGTCTGTGCGGTAGTCACTTGGAATGAGGATGATTCTTGCTCATGGCAACAGTGGAGACTTTTAATGTGGGGTGCTGTTGTCCTGGCTGATCAGAAAATTCTCCCACTTTGCTGCCTACCATATGCGTATGGTGATAATCACTTTGTTTGGAGCATTATGATACCTGAAGTGGGACTTAAATCTCTAGTTCAGAAGTAGGGATACTACCACGACACTAAAAGACTTGCTCTTATTTTCTCTTGAAGAATAGTTGAAAGAAATGGGTGCCGTTTCTAAGGAGAAGGAGCGAATTATAATTTCAGCTAATATAGTGTCTAACAAGGGAAGTTGAAAGATTGGTAATTTACTGAGAAAGAGGTCAAGGGAGCTTGTGCTGGATGAAATAATTTTGGAGAAGGCACAGATGGAGGTAAAAGAGAAATGAGACTGTGAAGGGGGTTCAAGGCAATAGCAGAGAAGCCATATTTGACATAGTGGGCATGTGCTGAGGGAAGAGGAATGAGGAAAGGTCGCTGAACAAATGGCTTCAATAATAGTAAAATACAAGATCAGAAGGTCTTTGCATATTGTCTGTATAGTGGGGGAATCATGTATCAACAGCTCACCTCACTGTTCTTAATGAATCATACAACAAGATCCTCACTACACCACTCTTAAAAGTAATACAATAGAACGGGTGTCCTTCAGAGATTTTATTGATGGATATTGATTCAGTACAGGATAGTGATATTAATAGTATTACCATTTCAGGGAAGATTTAGAAGCCGAAACAAAGTCAACACAAGAAGTATAAATTTAATACAGCCACAATTATTCTTAAACAAACTTAAACAAATAGAATTTTAATTTGAATTTAACTCTTCACCAATTAAAAAAAAAATGCTTGCCCTTCAAAAGTGTTAATTAAACTATGAGATACAGGTTGTACAACTGAGGAGAATCCAGTTCTGAATATAGAGCAAAGATTGTGGAGAGCTTGAATTGCATTTTGAAAAAGCTCTGGTTTGGTTACTTCAGCTTGTTTTATTTTTCTATATCGGTCATGAACACTGGATTTCACAGTCAGAATTTTCATTTGATTCTGCAATTTATTTATTTTCTTGTGCTGGTGAAGTTTGTACTTGTTAAGAAGTATTCATATTCCCTTTTCCAACCAGCATCAACATCACACATGCTCTGTTAACCTGGAGATAAAGTTCACTCTGCTCAACAATATGCTCTAACCCCAAAATCAACCTGAACTCACTCCTCTTGCTATTTTAGCTTTGAATATTAGACAACCAGATGGCCTTTCTCAGCAACATTGCAAATGTAATTTAGGTTCGGCTCTTTACAGGCATCTAACAGAGAAATCTGTCCCTTCACCTGAGCTGAATTTGAATCATACTCCCAAAAATGAAGCAACCCATGTTCAGACCCGCTGATCCACTTAATCTGAATCATGTCTTGAATAGGATTTATCATTTTTTCCATAAAAATTAGTTTATACATGCAGTACCAAGAGGTGTAATAAATAAATTATCTGTTCAAATTGCACTGGGTATGTATTTGTTAGCACTCTTGCAGCAAATGGTACTTAAATACAACATTTATTTAAGGAAAATATGACAATTTAAAGTATAATTTGGCTTGATTTGCAGTTTTGCTTAATACGCCAAAATTATAGTTCATCATGTGAGCTATCGCTACATTTACCTTGCTTGTTATTAGGTTTTACCATCATCCATGCATACTTGCACAGATTTTCTTTATTGCAATCATTCTGCCAGTATAGAATATTTCTTCTGTTCAGGTTGGCTCCAGCACAGGCATTGTACCACCATCCTCCACCTGAAATTCCATTGAGCTCTAGTTTAGCACAGTTCTGAAAGTAGTTGTCATTGTCACTATCTTTTGTGGTGAATTTTTGGTTATCATGGATATACGCTTCTGTATCTTGTGTCAAAGCATCAGCTGCTGTTCCTTGATAAAGACCAAGCCTAATTTTGTACTTGGCTTCTTCACGTTCAATGAGGAATGGGTCATATTCTCCCCATTTCATTTCGCCATTCATGCCAATTAGCTTTATTCCCAATTTGTATGCTCTTGGCTTGCTAGTAAGTCTGTGCATGAATTCATTACCCAGCCAATGATCGCCATTAACCAACCCAAATCCTTGCTTGTAGTCTTGCCATGTTCTGTCAAAATCCAAGGAAGTATTGGCAGTGATGTGCTGGACCACTGTCCAGCCACCTTCTGCACTGTGCATGTCACAATACACAACTAGAAGTTCCTTCATTAGTTGAATGATATAAAGGCCATCTTTAGCCTTACCTTCTGACTGCTGAAAAATTTCATAACAATCATTTGGAAAACCTACATAAAACAGAGACATCAATTGAATCAGCATAGTAACCCAGTTTTAGAATTTCACATTGTTTTTGCATCTCTTGCATTTATTTTACAAAAAAATTTCTTGTAAGGAATTCTCTGCTATATCATTCTCCAATTCTATTAAAGCTCATTTTAAAGAACTTATTCTAACATATAGAGTCATACAGCATGGATACAGACCCTTCGGTCCAACCAGTCCACGTCAACCATAATCCAAAACTATACTAATCCCATCTGCCTGCGCTTGGCCCATATCCCTCCAAACATTTCTTATTCATATACTTATCTAAAAGCCTTTTAAATGTTGTAACTGTACCCTCATCCACCACTTCCTCTGGAAGTTCATTCCACACACGAACGACTCTCTGTGTAAAAAAAAAAAGGGCCCTCATGTCTTTTTTCTCTCACCTTAAAAATATGTACCCTAGTCTTGAAATCTCCCATCTGAGAGAAAAGACACCTGCCATTCACCTTATTTATATCTCTTATTATTTTACAAACCTCTACAAGATCAACTCTCAACCTCCCATGCTCCAGTGAAAAACGTCCCAGCCTATCCAGCCTCTCCTTATAACTCAAACCCTCCATTCCCAGCATCATCATGGTAAATCTTTTCTGAACCCTCTTCAGCTCAATAATATCCTTCCCTTAATATAAGCTCATACAAACAATTAATTTATTATCAGTAATTTATTTTCCTATTGGCTAATCTTTACAGGCTTTGTTAATGATAAAATAACATGCCAATAAAAGCCTGATCTGCAATCACACTGTATATTGTTGTCACAAGTTACTTTTCTGTGGTAAAAATGACATACAGGATATAATGATCAGTATAGCCACTGCTTCTACTTTCATTATTGACACACAATGATATTCACAGTACCTTCAACTGAAAGTTAAGTCAGACTTACCAACTTCTTGTTTCATATTGATGATATGAGCGTAATCCTTTGAAGTTAGTAGATGGGCATTTTTCAGTTCTACAGATCGTTCCGCACTTGTCAAAATAGTGCACTTCAGTAACATAAGTAGAATACAGTTGAGAAAGCTCCATACATTCATGGCTGTGATTTGTTTCAGTCAATTTGGAAACTGAAAAGAAAACACTGGAGTTTTGTGTCAAACATTCTACTTGTTGGTGAATTAAAGGCTTTCCCATTCGTGCCATTTCTTTTTACTATCTGGCTTTTCACTTGAAGTTTGAGCTGTCAGCCAACAACTTTGGTCTCACCACCAGATGGTTACAAGTGGAGTCTAGAAACTACCTATCACTCCACTTAGACTACTAGAGCTCTGATGAGTTTCTACAATTCCAGCTAGAGTTCCTATGTGGAACTTCATGGATTACCATACCAATCTTGGGAGGAGGAAGAACAATTGATATTGCCCCCGATATATTGCAAAATCCATTAACTAGTAATGTGCATTTTCTGGTACTGATAATTGAGCAATCAACAAAGTGAATGAATCAACCCATTTGGCAAATTTAGGTATGAAAGCTATAAATGATAATACATAATTATTCACATTTTATTCGGAGCTTTCAGCTGGTAGACTGTGAATCAAACGATTAATTGCAGGTAACCAGAAGAATCTAGATCAGAATATATGTAACAATCTCAGATACAAATAAATTATAAATCACACTTCTGTTAGGAATTATGTTCTATGCTTAAATAACCTAGAGCATTTAATGGGACACTGATTATTTCAAGGATTACCTTTCTACGCTGGCCTTATTATAGCTCTGAACAAAATAATCATTCCAATGAGAATCTGCACAAATGCTTCTGTCTTACCTTTCAAAATTAAGGAAATCAAGTTGATACAATGCAGACAAATCTCAGGTTAGCAGAAAGATGATTTCTCAAACAACACAGCTATCCTTGTTGCTTCCACGATATCTCTCTGAACTTTGGCAGGTGCTGATACTTCAGTCCAAAGTGCAACAAGTTCTCAATTCCAAGCTTCTATCAGTTACTGAATCCCAACACTGAGAGCTTGCAGGATTTCAACAAATGCTCTTATCTATACACTTTGAACTACATTTAAGACCTGGCTTTTATATATTACATTTCACAATCTCAGAAATTACAAAGCACTTAACAGCTGACAAAGCACTTCTGAAATATATTCCTTAACATGACATCTAATGATTCACTATGTGGCTCAGTGAACAGCACTGAACAAGTAATGTGTTATTTGGTGATGTTGGTGTCCATTTGCAATAAAAAGCTGTACATTACTGTGAAGTTCTACAGTTAATAAGGTCATTAACAAGCAATAATCCCCTTTAATAGAGAACTCTCCACTGACTAGTGAGAATCTCAACTCAATATCCGGAAACTAGCAGTGAATTGTTCCCAATTTCAGATAGGCCTTGCCCTGGACTTCTCATATGATTGTGCAACACTTCCACTCATTGTTAAGGTGCTGATGAGATTAAACAATGACCAAGCTCCCATAGAGAACATAACATGTAGCTCTTTGTACAGTGTAATGAGGCCTTTTCTATCCATCTGAAAGGGCAGATGAAACATCGGATTAATGTTCCATCTGAGAGACAAAAGCTCCAACAGTGCAATGCTCCCTTTCTACAATACTGGAGATGTTGACCTAAATTTTATGCTGAAGTACTAGAAGTGATGCTTGAACTTACAGCCTTCTTCTCAATGATATGAGTAGAAAGAGAAAAGTTACTGTAGCTCCCATTACTTTCTCTATGGCAACATCTTCACAATCAACTTATCAACCAATCAACATTCCTTTCTCCTGAAGTATAATTTTTTGAGATTGACACTTGTGTTTGTCCTGAAATACAATGCATCTTTCTTATCAGTAATAGTCAGATTCTATAATATCAAGCATATGACATTTTAGTTAAATTAAAATCATGTCAAGAATGTTTGAAACATACAGCCTATCAGTGACATCTTTTAAAGTTCTCATTAGGCATTGGTGACATATTTTAGTACTAACAGCTACTAATCAATCTTCTGCAGGGTTGCAAAGAGTGAGGCAAAACCAAGTACAGTACTCAGATCCAGATTAAAATGCAGGGGGATGATTAGAAATGCGTGAGCAAGGAGGCAGGACTAGGGGACAAATTTGTTTAGAGAATGTGTGCAGGACATGCGAGAAAAATGGGGTGGAGGGGCAAGAGGGGAATATAGAACATGAGCGGTGAAGCTGGCTTAGCAGCAGGAAGGTGGAAGGCAGTGGTGATGGTGAGTGCGCCTTCCTTTCTGCGAAGTTGCATTTTCTCAATAATGCAGGGTTGTGCATGTGGTGGGTATTTTCAGTTGGCTGGAAATTTCCCAAAATAGGGTTGATTTATGGTTATGTTCTATTAGCTCATAAATCTTGTCGTATTGGTCAAAGGTTAAGTTTACACATGGTGCATGTGAGAAGCCTTGGACTTCAGTATCTTTGCACTGAGGCCTTTTTTTAAATGTCATTTTTAGTGACCGTTTCAGTGAAGTTTCATTGTACTTCATGGAGAATTTTCCCGCCATGTCTTACCAAATTCACCTCACAAATTTTCTTCCCTTTTCTGATTGTAGCCTCATGTTGCCAATCTCCATCCCTGGGATAACTCACCACTGCTGGGATAACCTGGTGGACAGGATGGTATAAAGGTAGAAAATCATCTTTCCCCAGGACCAGCAATAGAGGCCATGAATCCAGTCCATACCAGTCTAGTATGCGGTTACCACCTGGGTCTCTGCAGTCTCAGCTGTCTGGAGGAATGCACAGCAATGTAAGAAAGAGGTGAATGACCTTCCCCATACTGCAAGTGTAAGCGCCACAATCTTCTCCCTGATATCTTATGCTCATTCTCTGCTAGTGTAGTCACATCACACTAAGGCTCATGGCACACCACTCTCGCTATTGCCCCACAACATTATCCCTGCTTACTGTTATCCACCCGAACCCTTAGCACTACTAGCCCTGCATACCCTCTGCACTGCCTACTATCCTACTTGGAACACCTCCCTATTGCACTAAAAGTAATAGCTGTGCCACTCACTTTCATCTCGTTTAGTTCCTGCTTCCTCTCATTCAGGATGAAAACAGTCCACAATATGGGATTCAGCTTCTTGCTGTTTATTTGGAGATGATCCTGACTCTGACCTTGCTAAGTGGCTGACTTAGCACACCTAAGCCCATGGACTTATATCAGAGGCTGTTCTTAAACTTAGTACGCTGGCACCCTCTGACAGGTTACTTCCCCTCACTTAACTGAGGACTGTTGACGACAAGTTTCCTGGCTTTGTGTTTGTGCTAAATTGCATGGCCATAGAGCAGTACATTGAGCCAGGTATCTCTGGCTGAGAGGCAAGGCCCAAAAAGGCAAAGCAACACTGAGATGCTGTGAACATTCAGATAGACTCAGAGTGAGTGCTAAGGGAGCAAGTGAACAGCCTAGAGCTGTAGCTTGGTCCAGGCCATGAGTTGGGTGCATATCCCTGATCATAGGGTGTCCTTGCTGCAGCATGACAAATGCAGCCCAAGGTACAGCAATGAAACACAGAAGAGTCCTGTAAATGGATCAAAAGTATGTCATGAGGGGGAAGAGTGGGAAGGCACCCATGATCATATCCTGAGATGCTATTGTGTAGTGAGTCTCCTTCAACTGGATGCAAGCTGAAGTCTTCAGGTACTTATTGACTTCCACATTGAGAATTCTTAACCTTTATGGTGCACTTGCTGCTTTGTGAGAGTGGAGCTATTTGAAGGCATGGCGGGGGTGATGGTGGTACACTTTTCCGTTCCCTGGCAGTTGGTAGGACCCGAGACTTGGGCAAATGTTAGTGTTCATTAGGGGAAGGGGGAAAGAGTCGGGCAGAAGGGGGAGGTGGCAATTCATGATGACTTTGCTGGGAGAGGGAGAGATGATTTATGGAATGTTGCTATTTAATGGATGAGAAGATAAAACTTTTTCTTCTGACTGTTCATTTATGGATTCACTACTAATAAACAATTTCTAGGAGGACATCTGGGACTTACTAATCTGCGTGGGTATGTACGAAGTTTAGAACAAGGTTTAACAATGCTGTTAAGATTAAGTGTTTAACACAGACCAAAAACATTTAAGTTAGGCATTCAACAATCCTCACCAGGAGTGTTTCCCTCAATAAGGTCATTGTGCAATAACTGATAGGTTTGTGGTAGGTTTATAGTTTATAAGAGTTCACCTTTCACAATGAGAAATCATCAGATAAAGCCTATAGTTAGAGATAATGCTTTGGCTGGTAACATCAGGCTAGATTTTGCAAAATGCAATGAACAAACAAGTTCCACTCCATTATAGACTTTCCTGAATTGAGGGTTCCTGCCAGCCAACTTCCATAAAGATACAGCCCTCTATATCTGCATGACCAGGGAAACAACAGTAACCAACAAGAACATCTAAATCAGGCTGAAGAGTTGTTAATGAGTAGCACAGTGTCTGAAACAGGGAGTGGTGACCAAAATGTTTTCATTAAATGTCAAATCAGGTACAAAATGTGAAATAAAGGGTGGAATTTCCTCCCTCTCTAGAACTAGCTGGGAAAATGATGGAAAGGCAAATAATTTGGGCGGTGGGGGGGCAGAAGTTTGGCACCAGGATATACTTACACCCTCCTTCCTGCCACTAAGTTCTAGGTGGGAATTCCTTGGTTGGTTTCCAAACACATCATAAGACAAACACTTAAGTGATTAATTAACAACCACTTTGTTATGTGTTTGAACCGTTTATAGGTCTGATTATTCTTGTTGGTGTAGGCAAAAGAAATGGCTGCTCTGCAGGAGTGGCCTGCCATTGGGTTGTGGATGTTCTTGATTTGCTCCAGTCTGGGGTGACGGAGAACACAGTTTAGGGTGGGCTAAGCAGTGTCTACTGAAAGCTAATCACCTCCAATGGGATCTAGGTGTCCTCTCAACAACCCCACCGTGATATATCTACCTCCAAAATCTCTTACCCTCCTGTTGGTCTCAGTCTTCTGCATTGCCATGTAGCCAACAGCCTTAGCCTTGACATAGTGCTGCGCCTCACAGTGGTTGCTGACTTCTGATTGGCCAGTAGCTTCAGGTGGGTGGCACATCACTACTGCAGGACTTGATTGGCCAAGATGATCATTAGGCCATTGCTTAAGTACCTGATTAGCACTTCCTCTGACAAGACTTTCCCACTCGTGGGGATAGGCAATGACTGACCCTTAAGACACATGTCCCATTATTAGGAGACAGTAAGAACTGTTGATGCTGGAGTCAGAGATAATACAGTGTGGAGCTGGAAGAACATAGCAGAACACAGAAAAGAAGACCCTTCTGAAGAAGGGTCCCGACCCGAAATGTCAACTTTCCTGCTCCTCTGATGCTGCCTGGTCTGCTGTGTTCCTCCAGCCCCACACTGTGTCCCGTTATTAGAATTTCTTTTCAAAAAAATAAAAAAAAAATCCTTGCCAAAGCATGGGAAAGCAAGACTGGATAAACCATGAGACGAGATATGAGCAGATTTAGACCATTTGCCCATTAAATTGGATCTGCCATTTGATCATGGCTGATATGTTCTCAACCCCCTTCTCCCCTGAACTTTTGATTCCCTTACTAAGCAAGAACCTCTCTCTGTCTTAAATACACTCAATGACTTGACCTCCACAGCCTTCTATGGCAACGAGTCCACAGATTCACACCCTCTGGCTGAAGAAATTCCTCTTTATCATAGTTCTAAAGGGTCATCACTCTGGAGGCTGTGCCCTCAGGTGCTAGTCTCTCCTATGAGTGGAAACATCTTCTCCATGTGCAATCTATTTAGAATAGAGAAGCCGGGAAAGAAACCAAAAGAACCATGGATGCTGGAAATCAGGAGCAAAAACAGAAGTTGCTGGAAAAGCTCAGCACGTCCGGCAGCATCTGTGATGAAAAAAATCAGAGTTAATGTTTCGGGTCCAGTGACCCTTCCTCAGAAGCAGACCCAAAACAGTAAGTCTGATTTTTCTTCACACAGGCTGCCGGACCTGCTGAACTCTTCCAGCAACTTCTGTTTTTCCTTCTCAATATTCTGCAAATTTCAATCAAAACCACCCCCACTCCCAATTGCTTCTAAACTCTTATTGGGTACACACCCAGCGTCCTCAACTGTTTCTCATATGACAAGCCCTTTACCCTGCGAGCAATCTTGTAAACCTCCTCTGGACCCCCTCCCAGGCCAGTACATCCTTCTTTAGATATGGGACCCAAAACTACTCAATAATCCAAATGCAGTCTGATCAGTTCTTATACAGCCTCAACAATACAGATTTTTACTTTAATAAATGTTGTTAGCCTTGCTGTCATGTTTAAATCAGCAAATCCAGACCGTTATAAACTAATTATTAGAATTATCTACAACAGTCCCACCTACAGGCATAAGAGAGAACATGCAGAAATCTGGGAGCTTTTTACTTTTGCTTTTAATATAGGCAGGCACTTCAAAGCACTGCAGAAGTACTAGCTCCGGTGCCTTCATGAAATTTTCCAAATCTAGCAACAAGAAAGTCGATGCAACTGCAGCATGCTCTCCTAGGCCAATGTGCCCAGCATCAAGGCACTAATCACTCAATAACAGCTGCAATAAGCAGAACATGTTGCGTGTATGCCTACCCTGACTCCTGAAGCAACTATTCGCACTCAGAACGTAGTCATAAGAGTCTTAGATGGGCAGTGGAAACACTTCAGAGTTGTCCACAAAACATCCCCAAAGAAATCAAACATTCTCACTGCCATGTGGGAGATCCTGGCTTGCAAACAAGTAAAATGGGGAACATTCAATCGTGAAGGCACCAAGAAGTGGAAGTGGCAGTAATTGTAGACTTGTACTAGATTCCCTTCTCATTCCAGGAAAGTTTAACAATGACTGCAATAACTAAAGAAATTATTTTGGTTTTCCCCTGCGCCAACACCTCAGCCAGTGAAGACAGTCAGCAATGGTATAGACTGGGGAAGCCCTGGCTTGATGCCATATCTAAATTCAGTGTTAATTTGATCTACAGATATCTAGAGGAGAATAATCAGTTTCCTAGTTTCGCTTGTTATTCAGTGTCTAGTCTGAAAGTATACCACGTTAACACGAGGTGATTAAATGACAAAGCCAGCGTGTGACACCTCCTAAATGAACACCTCACCAGCAGGCACTGCCTATTCGTATACATTCGGTCAGCATTTGTTTCTGCTAATTCAGGGCTGCCAGTAGTATAGTAATGTCATCACTGGAATTTCTGCCAAGTAAATGCAAATCCCACTGACAGCTAATGGAACTTAAATTCAATAGGAATGTTTCACATAAAGCTAGTCTGATAGTGATCACAAAATTACTAATTGTTGTGAAAAATCGACCTGGTTCACAATGTCCTTTAAGGAGGAAAATCTAACATGTAAACCATAGAATTCCTACACAGTTTAGAAAGAGGCCATTCAACCCATCAAATCTGCACTGACCATCCCACCCAGACCCAGCCCCCTACCCAATCCCTGTATTTTCTACGGTTAATCTCCCTAGCCTGCACATCGCTGAACACTATAAGCAATTTAGCGTGGCCAATTCACCTAACTTGCACACCTCTGGACAGTAGGAAAAAACACAGCACCCCCTGGAAACCCATACAGATACTGGGAGTGTGTGCAAACTCCACACAGATTGTCACCCCAAAGGATGGAATTGAACCAGAGTCTCTGGCACTGTCAGGCAGCAGTGCTGGCCAGTGAGTCACCATACCACCCTAAAATCTACCATCATTACCATGTGATTTCAATTCTACAGGAATGTAGTTGGACTCTTAACTGTTTTAAGAAGTCACACAGTTCAAGGGCAATTGGGGACAGTCACAATGCTGGCCTTGCCCAGTGACATCCACAATCCATACAATAGATTAAAAATATTCAAAGTCTACCTTTGTGTAAAGAGGTGACAAAATTGGAGGGGAGGAAATTATTCACTAAATAAACAGATAATAACCATTTGTGCAATTACAATATGAAGCTAAATATTTCAGGTCATGCATCTGGATATAGAGGTGAACAGGAGGTTATTGGCACATTTCAGCTCATGCATCTGAAAAATATTCTCCTGTCCCATTCAGTTATGGATTCCAGATGTGGAACAACTCTTTAGTGGTTAGATAAACATTTACTTTAATTGCGCAGAAGATATAATGCAAAAGACATTGAGTCTTTTAACGATTTGCTGAAGTATACAAAAAACCTTTCCGAAGGAATGCCATAATACATTTTTGCATTTATAAAATAAAATGAATTAGAACTAACCTGCAGTTTCACTTAATATATCAATTTCCAAAATAATTACATTCAATTATGGTTAGATAGACAGTATTGAAAAACAATCACATAAATGTGTATGTTGACTGCGTCTGCAAGACAATGTTAGTTTTCCCAGTGAGCATATTAGAATGATTATTTATGGATTTTATTTGAAAATAATTAAGTGAAAAAGTAATTGGAAAATTACACTGAAAAGCGTTTCCTGCCATTTTATGTCAATGATATGAAAACACCCTGGTAATTTTGAAAATAAATCAAGCAAAATTTCAAACAGAAGTAATGGGCATGTAAAAAAGTATTTTGTTTAACAGGGGAGATTGATGGTCTAGTGGTATTATTGCTGGACAGTTAATCCAGAAACCGAGATAATGTTCTGGGGACCAGAGTTCGAATCCTGCCATGGCAGATGGTGGAATTTGAATTCAATAAATATCTGGAATTAAGAATCTAATGATGACCGTGAATCCATTGTCGCTTGTTGGGGAAAAATTCATCTGGTTCACTGATGTTCCTTTAGGGAAGGAAACTGACATCTTTACCTGGTCTGGCCTATATGTGACTCCTAGACCACAGGAATATGGTTGACTCTTAACCGCTTTCTGGGCAATAAATGCTGCCTAGCCAGCGATGTCTTCATCCAGTGAATGAATAAAGAAAAAGAATCCACTGAAAGTGAGCTTCAATGGGAAATCCTGATTGAATTCAAGCACAAGACAAATGAGAGTGGAAGGGGAGGTGCTGCTTCATATCTATTATGATTTTTATGTCCATCAACTTTTACTGGTCAAATGAATAGGATTTCAATAAATATTACACCAAACAGCAAGCTATCAGTTACAAATACCATGGTTGTTACATGCAGTGATTTAAAATTTGGTTGTGCTAGATGCAAGGCTTGGGAAAGTGTAGAAAATATGGTACTGAGCGTATTCTGTAATTCAGTCAAATAGCAAAGATGTAAAGGACACCCATTTAACACTACTGCATTAAAAATCAAGATTTTACCCAAACACATTTGTAATACACTCTCATGGCATACAATGGTGTAGGATTGTCTGGGATCAGGGACAAACTGAAACTGTTGTGTCCCTTCAAATGAGCAAAAGCCACTATCATCTGCTATGACTACAGTTTCACAATTTCACATTATAGCTTGTTCAGTGTTTCTTTTAGATTTATTAAAAAGGTGTCTGCAAATGACAAATTTTCTACTGGGCAGCAAGTGCTATCCTTCCTAGCATTAGAATGGAGGTGGCCAGGTACGTCAGCATCACAGGAGTAGGAAAGTTGACGTTTCTGGGCCATTTCTGAAGAAGGGTCCTGACCTGAAATGTCAACTTTCCTACTCCTCCGATGCTGCCCGGCCTTCTGTGTTCCTCCAGCTCCACATGGTTAGCTCTGATTCCAGCATTGGCAATTCTTAGTATCTGTGGCCAGGTAGGTGTCAACATTTGCAGAGTTTCACAAATATTTGAAAATAAATGTGCAAGAATTTCCTGTTGGAACAACTACTTGATATAGCAGAAGTGTTACTATGTTACGCAAGTCTGAAATAATGCCATACCAACTAAGTCTTGTAACCAGCAAAATCGGACTTCAAATTATTGTATGCAATTACCAAATTATCGACTACATTTGCAGCTGATTTGAAACTATTCCTGGAATGTGATATTGAGTACTTACTGTAATTTGATCCTATTACAAATAACAGATACACACCACAGCAAACTAACCAATTGCAATTTTTTTGGTGTATTTAATTTCAAAGGAACAATGGGGATTTACTACTCGCCTACACAAAAAAAGCAAAACTGCCAAAATGCTGATTTTGTTTTGGATGCCAGCTTAAACTTCTAGCTTATTTATTGACTTACAACCTGACAATTTACAAAATTCTACAAGAAAATTAATTTACAGAAAAGAATACTGTGCATTTTTAAGTGCTCTTTGAATCTTCAATGTCTGCAAGTATGTGAGAAGCCTTAAGTTTAAGCTCCTCAGGTTCAAATCAGCTAGCTGAACAAGCTGGCAGCACCGAGCTTCAACATGTCAAAATTTTGATTTAGTTGAGCCATTTACAGATTATGCTGTTTAAAAGTCCTGCATTAACACCAACGTGTTATGCTTTTTCTTCGTTACACCTATCATTCTTGATTTTACACAGAGCTCAAAAACATTTACTGTTCATAAAATGTACCAAAACAACCTTCACAAAAATTATTTAAATTCAGAGAGGTCTCCTTAAATAAAGTCCTGGATTAATTTTGTTTATGCTAGGTGATGATTTTGCCAATACAAGTTACTATTGCAATGAAACTTTGTTTCAGAAATATTTACAGGCGTCAGTTAATAAGTTTGCTTGCATTAACTATAATTGACAAAACATAAGCAAATAACCAGTAAAATAAAAATAACTGCTCCATCATGTCAGAATTATACATATCTGTAATGGGTAAGAAAACATATAAAATATAAAAATATAAGAAATGATTAAAACACTTGAAGAATCAATATTATACAGAGCTGTACAGGATGCCAAATGGAGTAGAAAATATTCAGCCCAATGCACTGCTACAATTTAAACCACAGCTACATGACAAGTGGAAATAAATACAAACAAAAACAATTTTAAGTCTATCAACATTTTTTACCTTCTGCAATAATCCTCAGCTAGAAGGGAAGAGTAAATAAATTGTTCGACTGAAATGCTTTTAAAGGAAACTGCAAGTTTCAATGTAAAAATGACTCGGATAAACTGACCTGAATAATCATGCTCAGTTATAATCAGCTTTGTGAGATGCTGAGAATTCTCTAAAACAAAAGTATGAGGAGTAGAAGCTCCTAAATATTGTTCACAAAGTTCTTGTCAATGCTGAATTTCGGTCTTATTAAGAATGACTGAGACACGGTTTATCTGTATTACTTTATTATGCGCACTTGAAATATACATAGCTCAGAACAAGTTATCTTGAATATATTTTCATTAATTTGAGACATACCATTGCCTCATGCTTGAGAAATTGAACAGAGATTTGAAAAATTTTGGTTTTATATTACTTTAATCCCTTGAACACACTGTGAATGTATTAAAAAATACTTACCAAAAGTGGCAGTAAATAAACTGGAATATTATTTGGAGTTACACTCAATTAAATAAGAAAGTCTCCAGAATATACTAGTCACTGCAAGCACACAGAAGTTTTGATGTTTCCATATATACATAAATACCGAGCCCTTTGCCTTCAAGGAGCCAAGTATGCTTTTTTTCAAATTTTACTTTTCTTTGTAAGAAGCTCTCAGTATTTATTCTACTGGCGATTTTAATTTTTTTTAAGAGCATAAACTGGTATTTTGTGCATGTAATAACCTTGAACGACTCGCTGAAGCAAAGACTACCTCCTTTTCAGAGCACCACTTTTGCCAGCCTTGCTGCCACTTCCAGATTTAGATGACTTGGAAGAGAAAAGGCGGGTCATGAACTCTGAAACATCTGGCAATTCATGGTTTGGGTTTAGCATGTTCATGGACTGCTCCATCTCCTGGAATAGAATGCAGACATATTTTGTGACGACGCTGCAGGATGTATCTCACTCCTACATTTATATAACTTTATTATCATAAAATGGAGCTTTTAAAAGCACCAGATACCAGTTCAGACACAAAAGCCATTTGAGTTTGAGACACACTCAAACTGTGTGTATTTGAGCACCCAATATTTACAGTATACCAATATAAACATTTTCAGAAGTTAAAAAGATGGACTTTTTTACCCTTTAAATATAAAACATGAGTAACAAATCCAGTTAGTAACGTTCTTTTACTTCAGTTACAACTATTGATTTGGAAAATGAACTCTCTTTCCTATGATTACATTTGAGTAAAACAAACTGTCCTGATTGGATATTAATTGCCAAGCTGCATCGGTCATTTGGAACCAATATCAAAGACAGAATGAATCAGGCAGCACAATTTTCACTATAAGATAAAGTGAGTAGGAAGAACCATCTACAACTTTAAAAGCCATATTTTCTTTAGACAGCAACTTCTTTCAAGTTCAACCTTATGTTAAGCAACACGGATGATTGTGTAAATCCATAATACAAGGGGAATTCTCAAAATGGTTCTTAAAAAAAAATCCTGATTTTGCGTTGGTCTTAAGTTAGCTAATGTAAAGTAATTAACATGAAGTTTGTTCTGTGCCCAATGACCCAAGTATACTCCATTATTTCTCTCGAAATGCAAGCAAATTTTTCATTAACACAATGCAAAAGGATCAGTTCTTTGAAATTCATTTGTAATATGTCTGCACATTTTGCGATCTAGCACAACCAAGGTGAAATTTATTTCCACTAATTTTAAAACAAAGAAGTAGTGGATATCATTTGCTTTAATGAAAAACATACTGGGAAAAAATTCCTGTTATTGTTGATTTTTAAAGTTTAACTCCGTATACGTACCCGCCTCATCTCAGGGTCATTTGTGTTGACCACTTTAGGCAGCAGGAGGATGATTAGCAAAGGAAGAATCATCATCATGACCTGTACAAAATGCAACAGTCAAACTGTAAAAACATCACTTCAAATTAGGTTATAGGTGAATATTCAGCACAGTTTAAAGTAAAGACTATTCATATATTTTGTTGCACAAGATATCTTCCTGGTTCTTGATGGTGGGAGTAATACATTAGCTTAGATAGGTGAAACAGCCAAAAGTATATTTTTTAAGTTTTCAGACTACTGCTGCTGAGGTGTTGCAAGGATCAGTGTTGGGGCTTTAGCAATTTACAACTTATATTCATGACTTAGGTGAAGGGAGTGACTGTAATGCATTTAAGTTTGGTGATGTGAGGGTGGCATATAAACAGTTGGGGACACAGAGTTGGATTTTCCCAGTGTCTTGGACATAGTGTGGGGGCAGGAAAATAGTTTGGAGCTCCTTTAGGACCTCTCCCTAATGCATTCCCACGGCCAAAGTTTCCCAGGACAAGTGAGAGGATCCAGACCTACACTACAGAAACAAACAACTAATAAAAATGATTAGGGCCCTAACTTGGGAGGTGCTTTTGCAGAATTGCTGGCATTTTCCCACCACTGGAGTATCCCTTGCCATGCGTGGAAGCAACCACCTCGGTGGAATCTGACAGCAACCTTACAACAGGAGGAAACCATCTGAACAGGAGGGTCCGTGTCTCAAACGAGATACAGTGGATACTCGCAGGAAAAGATAGATTGACTCTTGGACCTCAAGCAAATCAATATTGGGTTTGGTAGGCAGGTTTGAGGGACCATATGGCCTTAGCCAGCTTTTATTTATGGTCCTAGATATTACATATGTAAATTTACAGTATGAAGCATGTAGAACATTGCAGCCATCAAAGCCAGGTATCTACAACATAAGTAACTGGGAGATTTTAAAAAAAAGGGAAAAAGATACTTTCTCAGAAGTAAAATGACAACAGTATGTCCACGCAACACTATTCAAATACTTCCTAGAAATGGGGATTTCAAAATTCAATTAAGCAAACCATCTCTTGAAGATATTGAATGAGAATTAAAGGATGTGGAGAAACTCCCTCTTTTTTTCCCCTCACAATTCACCCTACAGAAAATAGATGTGAACCAACCTTTTAAAAAAAATTGAGTTTTCATGCATAAATATTCAAAATTTAATGATATGCATGAATTGAGTCAGCCACTAGATTTTGATTTCCAAGCTTAAATTATGCTGCAGATCCTTACATTAAATATTTACATTTCAGCATAGATTATTCCGATAGAGAGAACAGCCCTAGCTTGTACAAGCCTTTCTCAGAAGATAGCTTAGTTATGAAGATACTGTTGTGTAGCAGAGATTGCTTCAGCATTGCTGCCAATCTTTATACTTGCTCTGCTTCATTAATTGGGGGACTTGTTCAACTACTTTCACTAAAGAAAGTCTACAGTATAATTAAAGGTCTCAGAGATAGTAGGAACTGCAGATGCTGGAGAATCTGAGATAGCAAGGTGTAGAGCTGGA